TTACCACTAATGAATACACTGTATCATACAACGAAGTCATTTCTTGAGTTCTTAATAAATATTTCATCTTTGTTCCATTTTTTCAAATCCATTCACCCCAATCAAAGCAACTTACTCCAATCTGCCTCTCCAATAATTTCACAATATATCCAACAATTTAGGTATTCGATAATGGTGGTGATGAACTGGAATATTTCGGAATCACTGGAATTTCTGAAATATCAGCTCATTCCATAATCCGATATACTTCAGTTTTGACCACTCCAATCAAATACCATTTGATTCACTCCCACATTCTTCTGATCAAGTAATTGATTTAGTTATAATTCAATTGAATTGTTCAACGGAAATCATTTCATGATTAACAACCAAAGAACTGAATCAGAATTTTTTGGAAATGAGTTATGAACTTGCTTTGATAGTTTTCTTTCTGACGCTTGTTTTTATCATTTGAATGTTGTTTACGTGCTCAGTGGATCGTGCGATAGATAGGAAATGAATACTCATTTCCTTTCGATGACCGCATTCAATAGGAATTCGAAAAATTTCGACATTAGCAAAATTCATCAGAGAGGAAATGTGATGTGAAGAATACGGATTGGCATAGTGTGGTGCGGGGACGCAAAAAATCGGGGACGAAATTTTGCAGTTGGGAACCCGAAAGTTTCTTCGGCTGAAAAGTTATCGGGGATGGGCATTCGTATATGTAGCATTTTTCCGTCATGCAGTTATTTTTTCTTCACTGTTATCGATCACTATAGTATGATCAGTGTTCGATCGATTCTACTTTTGTACGTCTAAACGTATCGTTCGAGGTGTGGAATCACATTTGGGGATTTATTATTGATCGATAAATTTTGATCATAAATGAAATTTGATTCACCTTGCGAAACGTCTAATTTCGCAAAATGCACAAGCAATTCTGAAAGAGTTGTGGGTTAAGTCAAGTTGTGCTCATTCTAGAAGAGTGTTCGGTTTGAAAAATCTCATACAAGTGTGCCAGGATCCTACTAAAAAAATTTACGACGCGGTGTATCGCAAGACATATCAAGGAGTG